AGAATGAAGCCTGGTTAACTTTTGGGGAAAACAGGAGTGGCTATACCTGCCATACTTACAAACTGAAAATCATATATTTCCCTTCAGTAGGGAAACTTAAAAACTGAAGTCATCTTCCTTTCAGGTTACTACGTAAAAGTCAGGAATAAGTTTGGGGTATTTGAATACTGAGTAGTCTTTCTGAATTCTAAGTGAGGAGAAATTCAAGAAAATCCAAGGTATTTGTGATGTCCTGTTGGGACCTCCTGATCGGACTAGTAATTTAGATGTGTTCTTACTCTTTCTTTGCCATCCCAGGACACCCCGCAATGAAGTATTAGAAAGGGTCTAAATTGGACTAAGCCTTTGTGCTCTGAATGGACAAAGTAACAAAACTACTTTTATTCCTACAGCATTTAAGGAAAATGCAGTGGGATTACGTAAAGCACAGATTATTTTAAAATATTGACAAAATGCACAGAAAGCTTTTGCACTTTGCACGGGGAGGGAAAAGGCAAACACAATTTCAGTTGCAAAACAGGTGACCAGTATTTGATTTAGCTTTCCTATCCCATAAATCTTTTGCACAGAAACTCTACACAATTTCTGTGATTAGTGCGAATCATACTGCTTCTCCCACACAAATAAAATGTCCCATCTTATTTTTCCCTGGGACAGTATCTAAATGTTTTAGATTTGCAACAAAACTGGTGAAAAACCTACAAAACTGATTGATATCACATTATAATTTCCTCAAAGTAATGAAAATAATAATTAGTGAAATATGTTCTATTAACAATTGGTATGGTGACCTGTTTACAGGATAATAATTGTGAGGGGATGATAATACAGAAAAGAAAAAATAAAAAAAGAACCAGAGCCAAAGAAAGCATGTGCTCCACTCAATGAAATTATTATCTATTGAGTTGAAATAATCCAAAGCTTGCTGTTAAACTTCAACAGCACTGTCAGATTGACAGTTAAACTAAATCACACACACAGTTACTCATGTAATTACTGTGTGGAAAAAGGCAGGACAGTGGCCTTTGGCTCTAGTATGAACTTTATGTTAGCGCCAGGCTTGATGGCACTGTCACAGATGATACTAGCAAGCACTTAGGAAAGTATTCTTTCTTGTTGCCTGTATCTACTGTGAGAAATATGTGTTTTAATTTTCACATGATTCAGAGTTGGGGGGAAAAGGAAAGGAAGAGAACTGGATTTTGTCCAAGGGCACTCAATAGTTCACTTGAAATTTAACTAAGAGCCACTAATGAAATAGATTGGAAGAATTCTAAAGGATAATTACAGAGCAGGCTGGAACTCAGAAAAGAACAGTTGGAGTTCAAGTGCAGTTTGCAAGTCACAACTAATGTTTTTGTACTGTGACGAATAATCTGGCATGTATTTTCTGCATTGATAAGAACCTGAAGACTGAAGATAACCTGTTTCCAGCTTCAGAGAACCATTGGCAATAAAGGAGTCCAAACCAGACAAAATTTGCTGTTGACTTCACTGACATGGAGAACAAAGTGAGCTAATCTCTAGGGGTTTACAAGCTCTTCTTCCTTCTCACCACACAGCCACTTCTCTACTGTCACACAGAGTGGAGGACTCACCTGGCCACCAGATGATTGAACCCTTGCATCTCTGTATTCTGTGGAGGATGCTCTGAGGATCCATGTGCGCTACGGATTTACAGCTTCTGCCAAGGACTCAGCCACGAGGTAGTTGAACAGCAGGGGATCCATGTATTCTCTAAGGTTGCTAAGGCCATATGGCCCTAATGAGAGCTCTCACAGGAATTATCAGAAAATTACTACCTTTCTGTTACATTTCAGTACTGAGAAGTCAGACCCCCATTGTGCTTGATACAGGCCATACTGGGTCAAAATAACAGATTGGGAAAATTAGATATGGGGAATTTAAAATAATCACTGTGTAACCCAACTGAGTTTCTGCAATATTGAGTAATAGATAATTTCTGCATCCACTGAAGTTTTGCAGTCTCCTGTACAGGTGATAATAATGACCAGATGTTACTCTAGTTTTCTGGTCGTTATAGAGTAAATGTGGGATTCACTGCATCTAATGGATACAGATACACGGTCTGTGCCCCCTCTGATAGCAATATAGAGCATTGTGATAGTTTTAACACAAGTCACCTGTATCACACAAAGCTGAACTCACGCTCATGTTTATTTACTATTTATTATGCTCTGCAGCATGAGTGCTTTAAAACACTATTCAGATTAAATTATGAATGATGATGATAATGATTTGAACCACTAGTACTAATTTTATAATAAGGGAGAGCTGCCAGCATTCTTAGTCTATCAGTGGTTATTCATTTATCTTTAAACAAGTAATGACAACAGAAGAGGAGGAGGAAGTGATGGTGCTGAATTGTGAGCCTCTTTTGGTGTCAGAATAACACCCAAGTCAATGTGAATACAGGATAAAGATAATTATTATATTAGAGACTTGTACAGCAATAGGCATGCATAACTCAGGTTCTAGCTCCACATAAACAGTTGCATACAGCTGAAGACACATGTTCGACTGACAAACGATTTGCAAATATTATTCTGTTGACGCAGAGACACAAAGTTCGAGGTGGCCTCAGTTAGTAAACAAAGATGGAAAATGTACCTCACACATTTACTCTGTGCCTCAAAAACAAGCCATTTAGAGGAAGACATCTGGATGTTCAAAAATTAGCACGATGGTATTCAGAGCCCATCAAAACACTCAGCCATGGCTTGGCGTCTCGTAGCTAAGCAACGCACTTCATACATTCAAAACATAGTTGTAAAAGTTGGATCCTCCTGCCAATTGCTGCCACTCTCATTGAAAAGCTAAACTGGAAAAAATCTCGCTTTAGCTCAAAGTGTGGCTGTTTTCTACAAGAAACATCTCTGTTCCTTTCTCAATCTTTAACCCTTTTCATGTTTACATTCCAGGAAGAGCAGATAGCTTCATGTTGACACTTCGACTGTAAGCATATAACAATCACGTGGACTCCCTACAAAGAACACCATGAAAACATGTAGAGAGAAACTACAGTCCTGTAGTTTCATTGAGCCAAATACTGAAATACAATGCCAAACAGTGTCCCTGTGCACGCAACTAATCATTAAAACAGATTAAGTTAGAGTGAATTGCACTGTTAGATGCATTAAAATGTAAGCCAGGCAAACTGAGGCCTGTGCTTTTGTCTTGCAATGTACTTATGTCCCTAAGCAACAACACAAACGGTATTTGCGTCTTAAGAGGGGAAGATGATCACAGGAACTGCAACATTTAGTTTATGTACTACACACATCGAAAAGAAGTAACTCTATGAATGAAAGATGCATTATTCTGGAGTCTTTGAAAGTGGATTACTGATCAGCACACTCTTACTCTGGTGCAAACACGTCCATCCAAAGAATTACAGGTAAGTACCTGTAAAGCAAGTGCACTTTAAAGCCACATCCTAGGTTAATCCAACTAAGTTAAATAATTAATGTTAGGATTGACAGTCTGCCACCTTGAGAGTTTCTAAATCACAAGAAAACCCAGGGAAATAAATGGGAATACTGGCAGGGAAACACACCCCTTAGTGAAAGAGTGATGGATTCTGGCCCAAGGTTAATTAATAACCCATTAGAAAGGATGTTTATAGCAAAAAATAAGAACGGTATGACCCATCCTAGGTAGCCTGCTTTCATTCAGATTGTAATGATAAAAAAAAAAAAAAAGAAAGCTTGCAAATTGGACTGATGTGTTTTGAACTGCCAAAAAAAGGCTCCTGTTGCACAAGTGATGCCTGACTGACACAGAACCTAATGTTTCAACTATTTACAGCTATAAAAGCAAGCCAGGCACTTTTTTTCCCCCACTTCTGGAGCAACTCCTTCCACAAACCATCCAAGGCATCCTTTTTGGCAGGCTCCTGTGATGTAGAAAAGCAGGAGAACTCGAACTAACGGAAAGTCATGCAGTTATTTTTTTCGTACTTGGGGAAGAAAAAAATAAAAAAAGAAAACACCAAACCCAGACCGCTGAGGGAATATTCTTACAGAAGAACTTCATTGCATAAACTCTACCACATGTCTACTACAGCAATGTCCCTTAACGACCTCTGGCAATGCAACTAATTAGCAACTGGGCAGGGAGTGAGGCACAGCTCCGCGTGGGTGACTGGTAGGATGTGACCCTCAGCTGCTCAGGACAGCCGCTTCTCACTTGAGGAACAGGAAAGAGGCTGCATCCCCTCACCAGCAGCCCAACTCACTTGACTTCTCCAGCTCTGTTTACCTGCGGTTTGCATTTACGTCCCAGCCTTGAACCACAAGCGCTGCTGGCTTCCACTGCAGCGGAGCTACCCTTTCATGCTGGAAATAGCGTGTCGACCCACTCAGCGAGGAAGTCACATGTACTTTTAAGGTGTTCTGCACCAGTTTTGTTAACAGCAGAATAGGTTCATGTGGGGACTGACACAGGGTAGGGAGTGCCACCAGCCCCTTGAACAGACCATCCCCCAGAGAGAGGGTGTGAAAAGCCTGCTAGGGAAGGACACAGCGTCATCTCTCAAGAGGGGATATGTTGGACGGCGCCAGCTGAGCCCCCTGATCAGACAAGTTGCCACCTCCCCAGCCTGGCAGAAGTCCCAGCACCACACCGATGTGGACAACCACTGACCCGCGGTGGGACAACCTTGCAGGGGAGGACACACGCACAGGCACAGCCTCAACGTGCCAGGTTTCCGGCCCCACTTCATCCATCCCTGGTGGCAGTGCACTTGTGTGCTGGTCCCTGGAAGAGATGCAGCACAACCCAACCAAAAGCCAAGGTCATGAGTGAGAGGGCAATCACCAGGTGTGGCACAGCGTTGCGGCTCCAAGGCAGCCCTCTAACATGGGAGAGCCCAAGGACTGCCAGGGTGTCCCTGTTGTGCGCATCCCAGGATGCCTGCGGGATGGTGAGCGGCCGTCAGGTGCCCCGTTGGCGGTGTCGTGCTGTTGAGGTTCACCTACCTCGCGTGTGAAGAGGATGGCGGCATCGTAGTGCTCGTCGTGGTCGTCGTCGAGGCGGTTGTGCTGGTGCTGCCACTTGCAGAAGTTCTTGAGGGTGGTGGCAGCGTTCCGGTTGACCTCCAGCCCCTTCTCCTTCTCGCCCAGGACCACCACCTTCACCACGGCCAGCCGCACGTGGTTCTCCAGGCTGGCGTGCGCGTACAGCCGGGAGGCGATGGAGGCCAAGGTGAGCAGGTAGTGCTGCAGCCCCTTGCCGTACTTGCGCGCCATCGAGGCGTCGGCCACCAGCAGCAGCTCCACCTGCCGGGCCCGGGAGACGGAGCGGCGCCGCCGCCGCCTCCGGCCGCCCCCCGCCGCCCCCTCGACCGCCACCGCGTCGCGGGTCCCGCAGCTGTGGCGGGCGGGCAGCGCCTGGAAGCTGAAGCGGTCCCTGCGGAAGAGGTGGGGGACGCGGGCCGGGCTCTCCCCGTAGATGCCGGCCGCCTCCCCGCCGCGCCGCGCCGGCTTCACGGTGTAGCGGGCGCGCCCCACGGCGAAGTAGCCGTCGAGGCCGCCGCAGAGGTTGAAGACGGCGAGGGAGCGGGGGCTGCCGTCCACCGTGCCGCGGTAGGAACAGCGAGCCGGGGTCCCGTCCCGAGCCCCCAGCGCCTCGTCGCGCTCCAGGTCGAGGAGGAAGCGGCGGCCGCCGGCGTAGAGGACGTAGCCCGCCCTGCCGCCCCCCGCGTAGGTCGGGTCGAGGCGCTGCACGACGCCGTTGGCCCCGCGGGGCGGCCCCGGGGGAGGGCCGCGACGGGACGGGGGAGGCGGCGGCGGCGGCCGGGCTCCGGCGGCAGGTGCCGGCGGCTGGGTCGCGGCGAGGTGCAGCTGGGCGGCCAGCAGCAGGGAGAGCAGCCCCCGCAGCATGCCTGGCTCGGCGGCGGCGGAGCGAGCAGCGGTGGCGATAACAGGAACGGGGGGAGAAGGAGGGAGAGGGGGAGAGGGAGAGGAGAGAGAGAGAAGAGGCGAGTTGTCCCTCCCGAGCGCGAGTCAAGTGTGGGTGGGAGAGGTAAGGATGTCAACAAAAGCCGCTCGCGTGTGAACTTTGTGTTTCTCTGCAGGGAAGAGCCGGGAGCACATGGAAGGAGAGAGAGAGGCGAAAATCCCAAATCGCTGCTGCTGGGCAGGCAGAGGGGGGGTTGGGGGGGAGAGGAAAAGGAGGAGAGGAGGCTCGGAGCCGGCAAGCGGAGAAGTTTGAGCACTTCCCACTCCTCTTGCACTTCTCCGCTGTAGTCACTGGATCATCACCATCAGCAGCAGCAGCAGCAGCGGCAGGGGCAGGGGGCAGGTCTGCCGCGACTCGGCACTTTCTCGGGCTCCGGTGGCTCCCTTTCTTTCCTTTGCCCCCTTTTGTTTTGAAGAGAAGGAGGAGAAGGGGAGAGAAGAAAATCAGGCACCAAAAGCCGTCTCGATCGTCTCCGGTGAGATGATGGTTAAAAAGGAGGAAAAAAAAAAGCCGAAGAAGCAGAAAACGTCCCGAATTTTTGTGCGAGCCCCCTCCCTTTATCTTTTTCTGTTGTTGTTGTTATCCCCAGTCTGCCGATGTGAACAAGAGGAGAAGGGAGAGAAATGTGAAGATGAGAGGAGGTGGAACAATGAATTTATAGCGGAATGCCATCCTGCAATGGCAATTTCAACAATTCGTCACTGCAGGCTGCCTCTTAAAGGGAGAGCTTCAAAACCACCACTCCCACACTTCCTTCTCATTTAATCAGACAGAGGGAGAGAAACTTGAGGGGAGGGGGAAAGGCGGGGGGGGTGGGGGGGGGCGCGGGGGGAGGAGAAGAGGAGGGAGAAGGAGCGAGGGAGAGGGCGGCAGGGGAACGAGCGAGAGGGAGGAAGCCGGGGAGGGCAGGAGTGAGCGGCCGAAAATGTTTGTGCACGGAAAACACCAGATTTCCTTTGAATCGCTTTAAAGCCGCAACGGCGCCCGCCGGTTTGATATTTCACAACTGGCCGGGGGCGCTCGGGCCGTGCTTACCTCCCGGCGCTGCCGCTCATCCGGAGCCTCGGGGGGGAGGGCTGAGGCAGCCTCGCCCCCGGCTGCCGGGGGGCCGGGAAGCGGCCGGAGCCGTCCGGGGGTCCCGCGGGCTCCCACCGTCTCGGGGCTGTCCCCCCGGGCTCGTCCCCTGCCCCCGCACCTTGCCGGGGCCAGCGGCAGCGCCGAGCGTCGTCCTCCCCTTCCTTTGTCTCCGCGGCCGCGGCTCGCCCTGCGCCCAGGCTGTCATTAAGTCCCGGCAAGCTGTCATCTAGTTTGGGCAGACCGTGATTTCCCCCGAGCCCCCGAGGAGGAGAGAGGGCGGGGAAGAGTTAGCGCTCGCTTTGACCTTACAGATGACTTCAGATGCTTAGATCATCCCCCGCGGGCTGACACACGCGTCCACTCGCGCCGTGCCCCCCTGCCCCCTTTTCCCCAGCTCCGCGCTCCGACAGGACAGCACAAAGGGCAGATGTCAGGGCTGACTTTTTCATCTGTCCTGCCCACGCTGGCACTGCCCCTAGGCAGAGCAGACGGGCAGCGGCTCGCTCAGGACAGCGACCTGAGCGCACGACCCCCGCCGAGGTGCCCCCTCCAGCAGCCGGTGCCCCTTCGTGCCTCCGTCTCCCGGCAGGCACAAGGATGCTCTCGGCTCCCGCTGTGCCTCGAGCCGGGTGCCGGGAGCAGGTGCTCCGTAGCTGCGGGACTCCAAGAGGGAGGCAGCTTCCCAGCCTCGCCCGAGCTTGCAATCAGCCCCCCGCCCCGACAGCTCCGGCTGCAAGGGGCTGATGTGTGCGGGGCCAGGCCCGTGGCGGTGGGATGCTCGAGGTGGCACACCGGTGCTCTACCTTCAGAGCCTGCAAAGAACAGGTTAACTGGTGCCACGAACGATTCAAAAAATAATTTTCCCGGGTAAAAGATTACATTAACATACACCCAATCTTTAATTAGATCACCCTGGGGTTATGCTTATGAAATATTTAATGCACCAGAGTTTTGCAGGTGTTCTTTTTTTCTTTTCGCATTTTTTTTTTTCCTTCTGGAAACAGTGATATCTGCAAACAAAAGTTCATTTCTCAGACTCCTGGTACTTCTTTTTCTACATTTCAGCATTTTGCTATCACCAAAGTTCTTGACTGGAGTCAGTAAATTCCAAAACTGAGTTATATATCAGGAAGGTCACATGACATTTTTTTGGCATTTATCCAAGGCTACTCAACATTTTTCAAATTTAAACATTTTCTCAGTTATTTTTAAAAAGTTATAAAGTTATTTTTTCTTTTTTTTTTCTCTTCTCTCTCTTCTCTTCTCTCTCTTCTCTTCTCTTCTCTTCTCTTCTCTTCTCTTCTCTTCTCTTCTCTTCTCTTCTCTTCTCTTCTCTTCTCTTCTCTTCTCTTCTCTTCTCTTCTCTTCTCTTCTCTTCTCTTCTCTTCTCTTCTCTTCTCTTCTCTTCTCTTCTCTTCTCTTCTCTTCTCTTCTCTTCTCTTCTCTTCTCTTTTTATTCTCCCTCTCTCTCTTGCTTTAAAGGGAGGCAAAGACAGAGAAGAATAAGACATGTTTTGATTAAAAGAAGAACCTGTAATTTGTCTTCCACTTTTTCTTGGATGACTTTTAGTTTTCATTTAAGCCTAGTGTTCAGCAACACCAAAATTTTTATTGACTTCAGTGGGACCTGATCAAGTCCTGGATTCACATATATGTTTAGGTCCAAACTCCCCAATACCTCTGGGAGAGGTGCTAAAGATGAGATCTGTGATACGGAATGTAGTTTGGATAACAACCTCAGAAACTCTCATTAAAAACCTGTTAGTTTGTTCATGAATAGGCATATAGCACACAAGAGGCCACTGTAATGTTCTCCCATGCTACAGCATAATTCCAACTGTCAAGCTAGTTGGACAGTTGTAGTTAGCCTAGGAAAAAGAGAAATGCTTAGATGAGTTAATGGTAATTAAATGGTGCATCTCATTGCTTGTCTGCTGTGTTGATTTCCCAACTTTCCCAACTTTCCACAACATCCTATTTTGCCAGGCAAGGATCTAGGTTTTCCAGGAAGATACAAATTAACCCATGCAGATTACCCCATAGATTATGAAGTATTTCCTATTTACATTTCGAAACTGTAATAACTCATCAGTGCAACAGTGGAAAGATAGGTCAATCATGCCTCATATAACATGAGGAAGCCTCTTCTAGTCTGAGACTCTTGAAGTTGAAGGATAAATCACTTAAACGAGTTGTCTTCTTTTTCCTCCCAGTTTTGCCCTCTTAGACCCTTTTTACAGTTACAGCATACCCTTTAAACAAGAAAGCATGTTAGCATGTCCCAAGTTGTAGATGGCACTAAATCCTTGTCAAAAAGTTCTGACCTGGAAATCACAAAACTGACCTTTTCTAACTGAGAGATAGAGAGCCACAAATCCTCAGTTAGCTTTAAGGCACAACTTAAGTTTTGTGCACTTTGGACCAAATTCAATCCTGATGTAAAAAGATGCAGTCCTCTTGAGTCTGCAAACTGCTTTCATTAAGGCTGCATTTCAGCCTTTGGATTTGTCCATTAAATTTAATTCTTAATTATGCTTAACTCTTTCTTCTAGGGAATTAATTTTTCTTCAGGTTTTGTTGTTTAGGTGTTAAGAATGCCTGTAATTGCACAGATGAATCGATATGGGAGATAATAGCTTTTTATTGTTGTTTTCTATAAAACTATATGAAGACTGAATCAAACACAAGAAAATCCCCCGCTCAATATGTTCTAAAGTAATATAAAGCATGCAACATTTGATAAACTTTGATCTACACAAACCTGATGGTGGGAACTGGACCCAGGTTTTGGCAAGTTCCAATCCAAGCATCTACCTGCAGCAACATGCTTCCTAACATGGGGCAGCTTTGTCTCTCCTGAAAATAGAAAGCCTCTGTTTACTTTACAGGACATTTTAAATATGCATATCATCAGGATCAAGCTCACATGTGACAGGAAGCTGTTCCAGTCTTTATCTCCCACAAGTCTTTATCTATCAGTGATACTTAACCACCTTTCAAATTCACCATGGTTTATTGGTCTTGTCAGCAGTTTTAGCAATCCAAACATTATGATTATAATGGTCAAGTTTATTCATTTTAAAGATTTCCTATGGTGATGCATTAAAACCACTGAAGACATTTATTTCTAAACTGCTCATTATTAAATAAAATACTCATTATAAGTCATTTTGCAAAGAAGTTTCAAAAATGTATATTTTTGGTTAATGTTCTGGAAATGTCTAGATATATCGGTATTTGGAATAAGCTATACAGCTTTTGACTCTTATCCTAGGAAAACGGCATAGTCTAAGTTGTCCCTTATTTGGACTACGCGTCTTTAAGTGGCTTAAATGTTTTTGGAAACCCATTCAGGACGGAGACCTCCTGGTAGTTGTTTTGACTGAGTCTAACTCATGCTTTTTGATATTGAAGTAGGATTGTGGTTGATAAATAAGCCAACATCACCATTACTGGTGTACCTTCCCACCAGTCTTACCAGATGAGTCGGAAACTGAGTGCTTCTGGAGACTGAGCAAACTTCTTCCTCTTTCTCATATTGCACGTGGCAAAGACAGTAGTGAGAAGTTTGCTCTTGGTTGCACATTGTCTCATTTCAGGGCTGGCATTTCCTCTGTATGTGGTTGTCATTTCTATGGAGACCAGGCTGAAGTTTTTGTAGAACCTAAATTATTTATTTAAAGGTCTAGTAATGAAAATTCAGCCTTTAACTTCAGAAAACTCAAACAATTAGAAAATATTTTCATTATGAAAACACACCGACTGGTGTTCCTAGGTGTGTGAACTCCTGAATGGCATTTGTACCTCTGACAAGCCACCACTGCACATGACCAGCAGCTGTGGCTGCTGTAACTGGCCACTTTTACAATAAAAATGTCTTCAGTTACAAGAAAACTATGAGCTTAAAGTAGTTGTGTTTGGTAAAAAGTGTAAGTGTTTTGGGTGTGAAGCACTGTAGCTTTAAGGCAAAATGTTTTACTTGCTTCTTTATGGTCAATGACATCTTCTTCAACTAGAGCCATGTGGGAGCAAAGGAGACGCCTTTGGCTTGGGGTTTATGTTTTTATAAGTGGCATGTGTAAGTAATGTATCAAGTATATAACAGTTCCAGCAGGCTGAAAATTTTACATTTGACATCAGCTCCATTTTTCTATAAGGGCTAAGGAGGCAGCCTTAAGGGGTGCAGTGTTGAAGCTGGGTTGGGCACAGCTTAAATAGCTGTATTGTTTTAGTGTAACAACACAAGAATATTGTGAATTTGTGGGTACCATATCAAATTAAAAAAGGAAATTGTCTGAGGCCTGGCCAGAAGTCAAATTATTAAGGTATCCACTTATAGGGAGGAAAAGAAAAAGCTAGTGAGATTTTTGTAAGATTAATCATATATAAAAATGTATCACATAATAAAAATATGTCTCTTGCCTGCACAGCACTATCTGGAGGAGGGATGTGTTTACTGATCGAAAGAAGCTACATGTATGACATTGTCCAGTCAGGAGGAAAAGAAGGCGCAAATGACAAATCATATTTCCTAGGTATTGACCTAGAGAAAAGACTGGAATTCAGTTCCTCACCTTTCCACAACTGATGCAAGAAATGAACTCACATAAACCATAACATAAATGAATAATTGTGACCACTGAACCTACTACAAATTTTGTTTAAAAACACATGTTGGGTGGAGGTAGTGTTCTGCAGGAAGTATCAGATGTTAGTGTAGTAAGTATAAAACACTTATCCTTATTATTATTATTTTTTTTTTTTTCTGAACAGCAGCAACATAATCAGAGGAAGGGTAAGATGTTAAACTTATAAAAAATGACACTTGTTATAAAAATACCTTTTAGGAGTGCAAGATATGCACATGATGTATTCTACAGCTGTTCTTTCAGAAGACTAGAAGGCCTGAAAAACTCTGGAGTCTAGTTTGTATGAAGAGCAGCAGACATTTAATTAATCTCAGTCCTAGAATTTTATAGCCAGTATGTGGCCTCTGAACATCTCTGCTCTAGTTAGCAGAACATCTGTAGTAGAAAAACAGAACTTAAATAAATCCAAGTATACTTGTACCCCTCCAAACCTTACCCCTTTTTATGGTTATTTCTTTAAACATTTTTCCAAAGATTTGTATATTCAGCTTCTCTCTGTCCTCCCTGCTGTAACGAGCCATGTCTAAACAAAAAACAATTCAGTACAGATTTAGCAGGCAAATAACCTGTTCTCCTCCCCTCTACCCAAATCTTCATTCTTTTTTTTTTGCACATAGGCCGGGTATATGTTCTTGCATATATCCTGAAATAAATAGCTGGATCTGAAATACTGGGGCAATTACAACAAAATAAATGCTTTTTTTTTTTTTTTAATTAAATATAATAATAATAATAAAAAAAAAAAAACACATAAGTAGTTCTCAGTTAATACAAATTGGGATAGTTCCATGTGGGCAAACTGTTAGAGGCATAGCTTTATGAATTTACACATCCATAAATGATATTCCAGTACTGTAGGTGGAATATCTTTTTCCATGTCATTGGAGGCATAAACCAGAAAATGTACTTCCCTAGACTTCAAAGTTAAAACTGAAAGAGTGATTAAAGAGACATTTAAAACAAACATTCAATTGCCAGATCTCACCTGGCATTAATACACACACGGCACCACTTAAGATATCAAGTTCTGGTTGCCGTGCACACAGATTTTTCCATCTGAATCCCAGTTGCCCTTGAACTCGAGGAGAGAGAATTTTGCAGGTCCTCTGAAGCAGGAGGCAGGGGGGAGCACTGTCAGGTGGCACCACTGCCTGGCACAGATCTCCCTGTTACTTGCCCTCACTCAAAATACAACCTCTTCCATGAAAGGGAGAGTTTGAGAGCTTACTTCCTTTCCTACGGAAATGTCTGTAACAGCAACCTACGGTTGGAAACTTTTTGTGAACACTTCTTTGTCTTGTCCTTTGTCTCAGAAGGCTCATGGGTGTGCACAGGGCACATCTGTGGGACGGTCATGAATGTGCTTTTGGAGTGACTCTCCCAGTCATTTCTGTTTCCTCTGCTCTGGTGTGCCTTAGGTAGAGGTCATTGAGCACACAAATGGGATCCATTTGGGATGAAACTAAACCAGAAGGTATGCTTCAATGGGTGTACAAGGCACGTAACTGCATTAGAGATAACTCAAATAAATCCACTTATTCTCCTCCTATTCTGTACTCCTGCTCCTCCACCCGCAATACTCATTAAAGCAGACAATCATTGTTACTACTGTTGAGGAGCATCAGAGGGATGAAAACAGGCTGCAGTATCAGCCAAATGATGCACAATATTCCTTCCCAATTGTAAATGTTTTAGACACTTCTGCAGGCGAGGACGTTGAACAAAACAATGATAAGAGAACACACACGTAAGACAGGGAGGTAGTCTTTTGAAAATATTTTACCATCTTTAATGCTGGAAAGCATACATTTTAATGATTAGCACTTATCCTGTAAGACATGCACCTCCATCAAAAGGGCCAGGAGGTCCATGTAACATGGAAATGCTTTGTTAGTCTTATTCTGAGGGCTTAAATGGTTCTCAAGAGGTGCATAAGACTCATGCTGCCTTGGGCATAAGGGTACAATTCACCCTAAAAGAAGAGACCTAGCATAAGTCTCATCACAGCTGCAATATTCATTTCTGGAATGCACCCAGCAGGTCTTATCCAAGCCACTACAGACAGGCAGTTTGAGTTTTTCCAGTTCCTAATGATTACACAGTATCCTGGAGTCACTTGGACAATTTCCACTGAGAGTGAAACTCTTTGTATTTAATATCCCCCTAAAATAAAAGTGGTAGAAGAAAAGGGCCTCAATCTTTTTCTTCTTTTATTGCTTGTGTTGAAAAGGTTTAGCCCACAGGGGTTGGAGCACTGGGCAAAACTACAAAATATGCAGCACATCCTGTTACACTGAAGTGGGCAGATCCTCTCTAGTAACAACCAGACTGGTACAATGGAAGACTTTGTCTAGTTTTCCTGATCATATGGTATTATAGCATGCATGGTATTTCATTATGGTTTCCATTTCAGGAAGTGAAATGGTGGAAATCCCTAAGTATCATGACTCCATTTTCACCATTGCTCCAGGGGGAGTGGGGGGTGGGGTGTTAAAGGAGTGGGCAAATCTCGATGGAGCTGTATTACATGATACTGTAACGTATCACAGGAAATTATTTCCCACTCTGCTGGAAACTCAGAATGTCGTCAAATATAAGTCTTGACAAACTTCAGCTGCTATGTTGCAAAGAGATTTGCAGATAAATAAACAAATGGAGTTACCAGCAGATATATCCTATGGGCAGAGCAAAGAATAGCTTGATCTTATGTTGATCTGAGCAACCAGTCTAGCAAAATCCATGTACCATGAAGTTCAGTGAAAGAAAAATCAGAGCAGGTCCACTAGACAACAACCATACCTTCAGTATGCATCATTCTACAAAATGCCATTCCTACCTCATCTGACCTGGAATAGATCTACAAAGCAGTGTGCAAAAGACAGGCACCCACGGAGGCAGCTTACCTCTCAACACATTATAAAAATATGGGTATTAGGACAAGGGCAAGAAACCTCTCTATCAACCAAAATTTCTGTTCTCCTGTTTAATCTGAGTTACAGAAATTTCATCATATCTTCAAAGCTTGTTCCTAAATTACCTACCATCTCTCTGAACCCTTCTGTTTCTCTGCTCCTCTGCCTGTAATATTTTCAGATATTTTTTCTCCCACGAGGACATTTTGAAATGCACATGTCACAGTCCAGATCATAACCACACCACGCAGCCTCCTTTCCTCCCTGAGGTTTACGGGGTTTTATATTCTCCCGTATGAACTGAAAAATGTGTATACTCAAGCCCTTGCCAATGAACAGCATGATTTTCCATGCTTCATAAAAGCTCACCCATCCCCTGTGTAGTAAAGCCATTCTCCTTTGCACAGAGCAGAAGTTTGCTACTTCAAAACACAGAAACCATATGGTGACATGTTTTAAAAGAAAACATAAAGAAAAGCACAGTAAGAAACAAAACAAACCTTCTTCTCCCATCCTTCCCAACCAGAACCCAACTTTTTCACACAGGAAACTAGACCACTGTGATCACCTGGTCTACCACAAGGTTCTCTCTGCTGTTGCATAAGAAAGGATGAAAGTTAGCACTGTGTTTCTGTTTGGCAACTTTAAGTTTTCCTGTTGTCAGCCTTTCCACCTTCTAATGTGGTCAGTGCCTTATGCCCTAGGCAGTGAGAGGGCAGAAGGGTGTTAAGAGGGTGTTAAGGGGTAGTTGTGCTTGAGCCTCTTCCTCTGCTGTGGCTGGGAAGCTGAGCCTCCAGGCTATGTGCAGGGGTGTGCGTACATGGTTGGGTTTGAGAGGGGTCACATGCTTACGCACAAAATACACAACTTGACCCACTGCCTAATGATGCCACTGGACTTCTCTGATTTTCTCCCTAGCTGGAACAGATTATTTCTAAAAAAAGTTTCTAAACATGATTTTAATATTTCCAGGGAGGAGATGACAGCCATTGGGGTTCCCACACTTATTAACCTATACCATTTAAAAGTTGCGGCTGACTTTTAGTCAGAATTCATTTAGCTTCAGTGCTCAGCCATTACACCTTATTAAACTTTCGCCTGCCATTCTGAAGAATCTGCTACTTTTTCCCTAGTTTGTAAAATTACAAATAATGGCCATGTTGCTCTAACCTTTTCTTTGAGAGGCTATAATGCAGTAAGTAACTTATGCCTATGCAAACATATTTTTCAATACTTCAGTCATTCTCAGGTTCCTTCTCTTAGCCTCCTTCAATTTAGCAAATCCTCTCTAAGCTGCAGCTACTGCATCTGGATAAAGTGACACTGCTCACGCCAGTGTAGAATACACATACAGCTTGACTTGCTGTAACCCCATTGGGCAGAGCATCACACTGGGAGCTCACATTAGCTATTAGCTGCCACAGGCTCTTCCTCGTGGGGCTTCTTCAGAGTCCCTGCTTCTCTGGAGAGCAAGTTCCTCTTCTAAGGTCAGGGCTTACATTCTTTGTTTCCAGATGTATTGCTTTGCCAAGTAGCTATTCTTCAGGATCCTAAATTCATGTCAGTGACCAGCCTGTTTTAAAGCTTAGACTGCCTCCTGAAATTATTTTATGATTATATGCCTATTTCTAGGTCACTGATAAAAATACAAAATTGTGTTGTGCCAAGAATAATGGTCTTTGGTATGCAGCAGCAAAGTCTGGCTTGATAATGAGCTCTTCTTTACAATCACATGTTGAGGTCTATCAGTTTTCGACAGTCAACATTTGCTGCATATTTTCTATGCGTAGGCAAATCCACATGAACCACACTGAGCAACTACACTGTAATAAGGCTGAATAATAGCCGTCTGTCTTACAGTGACTTTCTTTTCCTCTGTCTGCTGGAGCGTTTGTGATTCAGGCCCATGGCTGCTGTCTAGAACATTGCTGCCGGGGTCTCACTGAGCAATGTGATGCTTCCTGGGTGGCACTGACAAAGACGTGACCTCACTCCAGCTCTGTTTTGTCTGCTCATACTTACATGCTTCTACTTATAGAGCTCAAGTAGCACCTCCCTCCTGTATATCTCAGAGACACACAAAAACCCGTCTTTTCCTGTCTGCATCTTCTGAAGAACTCCTCTTGGTAACTTCTCATTGCAGATGTTTTCCTCTTACTCAGAAGGTCTGCCTACACTTTATTGTGACCTTCACCTCATAACTCTACTCATAAGTTGAACTTAGACCCGTTTCTAGTGAAGGGCAACATAGCTGTCTCACTTCCTGTTATATTTTAAGGATTATGGTGAAAGACATTTGGTGAGGGAAGGAAAATCTGCATATTCTCAATAAAAAAGACTTAACACATATCACTGTGCATATAGTGTATTCTCCATTTCCATTCCCCTTAGGGAGTCAAAGCTGAGGCCCTGTATTCAATTTTATTTATTTATTTATTTTGAATCTGCATGTTCATTAACAGTGATACAGAGTAGTCCCCATTATAGCTGACAAGGGAATTATGATGCAGCAGAGTCTTGCTCCCACTTTGCACATGAGGAAATTAATGACTGCACAAAAACGCAAGGCAGTGGTGTATCAGACTGTCTGTTCTCTGCTGTATAGCCCCTGTAGACCTTTCTTCTCTCTCATTTGGTTAAACCTGTTTTTACAAGCACCCAGAACAACTCAGCTCAATTGTTCCTGCTGCTCCTGCTCTGCAAACCCAAAGTGACTCCTTCACATATTTCTCTTGAAGCAGTGACATGCATGGGGCAGAGGCAAAATTCCAAAACAAAGTAAGCAGACACTGTTGGTCCATGAAAGCCACATGAAGTTGGAGCTCTGATGGCTTTCATTATGTTGTGGTGTAGGCACCCTATGTTCACATGGCCTGGTGAATTTTAGTAAGCTCAACCACTATTTCGAGTTTCAGAGTTTCTGCAGATTTGAAGGCAGTAGGTAGGCGTATATATTTGGCTGCACATGGTGGAGATGATTTTATTTTTCAGTGTTAGAAAGCAAATCTCTCACTCTTAAGCTTCTGTACTTACACTTTGCTGGGATAGCAGGGAAATGCTAGAAGAGTTATTGGTCAATAGCTCTTATAGTAAAAGTTAGTAATGTTTCCCAATAGTAAATGTTGTGGGAAAGACATGAATTCCTTTCAAGTTCTGCATCAGATTTTTTTTCCTTCAATCCTTTCCTCAGATCTGGGGAATTCCAAAAAGAAGGGTTTTCATACTGAAACCAAAGACATCTATATTGTTAATGGGACTGTCAAACTGCTGTTTTTACAATGTGTGATTCAGAGAGCTCAGCCACCCACATGCTAGCTGTAACCACAACAGGCAACACTTCAGAGCATCCTATCTGAGAATCCATCTGTACGGACATCGCAGACAGACCTGAGGCTCCTTTGCTTACGCTCCGAGCTGCCTGGAGAGGAGCCAGCTCTAATTTAGAAGTCCTGTAGACATGTTAGCTCAGTTATGTGTTTGAGCAGATATCAAAGTCCTTGCAATCATCTGGGTTGAGATGATGCCTTGTAGGTAAACCTCAGTTCTCAGGTGATATAGAGCATGTTGCCTCCGTGGATGTCAGAAGAATTTTGCCTCAGAAGAAAAACATGTAAGGGAGTACGTGTTTCTTTACTTTCTGTTATGCATATGACATAACCCTTCCTCTTGCCCAGTGCTCAGCCTACACCCAGCTTCAGAGAATACCTGCTTGCAACCAGCAACCTCTCCTGGGAAGATCAAGCAGCTCCCTACCAAACCCCACCCCCAACCCATCTTTCCCTTCCTTTGTACCCACTCATGCCTGGCCAAAATCCAGTCCTCAACTGAAGCTTGTAGAACTCCTTTCCTAGTACACATACTTTACAGATAAGAAAGGTAAGCCTTGCTTTAGGGAAAACAACAACAAAACAAAACAAAAAACCCCTAGCCTGAGGTCACATGTCACACCCAGAAACAATATCAAAGGCTCTCGGTCTCTGCAGACAACAAGTTTGCACCTGAATCATTTGGAAGGCAAAATCTTTTCAGGAAAAAGGCATCCGTTCCAAAATACAGTATCAATTCATTTGTTTAGTTTAGCTGAATCCCATGGTTTTGTGTTTTCATCCCTCAATCCTCCCTACCAGAGAAACAAATCTCCGGTAATTTGAACACATGTATGGTCTTCATGAACTCCCAGCATTGGTAACTTGTTCCATATTCTCAGTACCATTTGCATTAAGTAGTTCTGCCACATTCCCCCTTTACTCCCAATGCAGAGAAACAGATGGGTAAACAAAGCAAAGAATGACCGTGTCTCACTGCACAACTGCACTTTTTTTTTTTTTTTTTTTACACAAACTTTGGGACTAATTAGGTCATTTTATAATAAGGGAAATTCCTGTAAAACCTTTTTTACTTCAAACAAAATGAAACATGGAAGCATTCTGGATTACAGCATGTAAACTGATGTGGAGATAAGATAGTCTTTGTTTTGTTTGAGGCTCAGAAAGATACTTTAGGTAATGTTCCTTGTCATTGGCAGCCTACTTACTTTACCAAAATGGAATTTAAAGCTATCATTTCCAATTCTTTTTTTTTTTTTTTTTCCACAACATCTTTACAGGAGCAGGAAGAAAGTGGTAGTGGGAAGTCTTTCTACAAGAGGTTTGCTGAATGATTATGAAAATTTTGTTACACTTAAAAATTGTACAGAATAACTCCTTTTTTTTTTTGTTGTTTTTCCTCCCCAAAAAGTCAAATTTATGGATGTCTGTCTTTTACATTATGTTGATGCTGCCTACAGCTTTGAAAAACTCACCCAAAACCAAAACCAAAATTCATCTGTACCATCTGTAAAAAGGGTGTATTCCAACAGGCTGTTATGTAGCATTTTAATCAGGGCCCGAGACAACTGGTATTTTACTGACTCAGGTGATTGTGCTTAATGATTGTTAGCAGTATCTAGTGACTGTGAATGTTCAACCTGTATTTGCTTTCCCTCCTCTTTTGCCTCTCTTTGCCTCCATAAACAAGTGACGAAAACCCACCAAAAGCCAGGGAGATTTTTGTGACCCTTCAGTGCATTTGCTACACTTTGTGCTTTCCAGTTCCCTTACCTCCAGCCAGCAGCACTTTCGATAAATGTCACTAACAGGTACTGTTTCAGTATTCCTGTTGGTCTCAGTCACAGACACAGTGTCCTCTGCTTGGGCAGCATTGGTAGCATGGCCTCCAGCTGCCCTGGCTGTGTGGGTTGGCGGCTTCTTTCCACCTTTCCCCATGCCCACGAGGCTGTTTGCTTCCAGCTGTGTCCCGCTAGGAAGGGCTGGTGGCTGCCTCCAGGTTGATTTCTTGCTTGCCTGGAAGCCCTTCCCTGTCATGGAGCTGGGGAGGGAACAGGGATGAGGCAGGAGCGACTTCTTGTTGAGAAACAGGAGCTAAAATTAAATGAGACCAATCGCAATTATAAAAACAAATTGAAAAAAAAAAAAAAAAAAGCCTTCACAAATAACAAAGTTGTCCTTAGCTTAATGGCCACAGTTGTTGCTGTTGTTATTGCTGTTTTTTGTTTGTTTTGTTTTTGTTTAACATGACACCAACAGAAGTTCTTTGATTAAAAATCAGTACAGATTTGGTACCTGGCAAGGCTAATGTCTGCTTCTATAGATTTCGGAGACTGCAGCTTTTAGTCTGGAAACTGGAGAACTCTAAGCCCACAGCTCAGTGGTATTGAAATATCCACTGCCTCTTGAATATACATAAAAATCTGTAGACATTATGGTTTTAGTGCTATGCTTGGTAAACAAGCATATTCAAAAGCTAGCTTTTTATACCCCATCACAGCTATGCTCTTTTATTGCCAATTTCTCCACTCCTCTGGTCACCAAATAGTCACACCAGGAAGCTACACAGATTCAGTAGATAAACATGTAATCAGGCTAAAAACAGGTGAAATTATCCATAAAGGGACTGACACCAGGCAAGGAGCCTGAACAGCATCTATTTCTCCAAGGTCCCCTTTATCACAGCATCTGAGACTCTTGCAGTCACTTGCAGTGTGGCATTGCACCACAGGGACGTTCACATTACTTTCTTTTTCAAGCAAAGCAGATTAGAAAAGTTGGTATTTTAACATCAGGTATTGTGGCCAGAGTCGCACAGAAAGTCTGGGCTGAAGAAACAAACTACTAGAGCCAAGGCAAGCCCAACAGCAAAGGTGTTTTCATTTAAACAGGAACAAAAAGTCAGCCCAGCAAGTAGCCAAGGACCAATACATCAGCCTGACCTGGGAACACAGTGACCCGCATTACCATAAATTGTTTCCTCTGAGACCTGCTGACGGGCTGTGAAATGAGAGCAGGCTGGGCTGCAGTCCCGGGCACGGCAGGTGCTGGAGCTGGAAGTGCTATGCTGCTCCCCAGCACAGCCCCTGCCGCAGCACCCGGGCAGATACAGCGCAGCTGCCTGCTAGCAGTGAAGGGGCAAAGCTGATGCCTCTAAGGATCTTCTGGTCTCCTCATTCACCACTGATTGAATCCTTCAAGTACTTCACGCTGCTCTGTGTGTTGCCTTTTGTTGTCCCATTATGTAAGGGATCAGGTCTTTGGCCTTCTGGCTTGCAGATTCATGGATGATCAAAGCACAAAGAAAAGAAAGACAGGCCAGTGTAGTGTCAGCTGGACATCCTGGCTGAACAGTGACACGCTGATGGGCCTCGAAGCTGTGAGAAATGAGGAATCTTTCAGAATTTGTAACATATATATATATTTATATATATATTATTTTTTTTTCCTTGTTCTTGGACTTTTTCAGGATATGTTGAATGTGGCAGAACCTCATCCAAACACCAAAACCATTCAAATTTGCAATAAGCTGGAGTGTGTGCAAATAATGTATATGACAGCTTTTGGGAAGTTTGAACAAAACCTTTTCCACAGGTTTCCAAGCTCACATTCCAGATTCCAGGCCTGAGGCCTTTCTGGAAGTCCTACATGCCATTAAAAGTCACTGAGAAATGGCTATGGGGTTTTAGAAAACACCACATAATTTAGTAATACATTCAGCAATCCATCCATTGAAATGGCATACTTTGGAAAAAACATTAATGTGGATTTATTGTTCCAAATCACAAAAGATTTAGAAAAACCTGTGAAAAGGCTAGTCTTTTTATTTCTAGAAGACCTCAGCTAGCATATTTTATCTTCTCCTGCACCTCTAATTCACTTTGTTCTTGAATCTTGGAACAGATGAGCTCTTTAATACCCAACCATTTTCAAGCACAGTTTTCTTACTTACGTTTAAAAGCTTCTAAAACCTATTAATATTATCACTATAATATTGAAAAGAGTCCTGATATTTCATGCATTTGACGTTAGGACTATGCAGGCAAATCTACAGCTTTGCCTAATAACAGCAATTGAAAAAGTAAGATTTTACAAAGCATTAATTTTACATGACACAATTTTATTTTTATAATTCTGTTTGCCTAAACAAAAGCAAACTTGCCCTGCATAATTTTTCCTTTACTGATGTTAGTCATACAAATATTTACTGACTCACCTAAGCCAGGGTTTCAACTAAAACAGTGTTTATCCAGCTAAATAGGGTAATTTTAATGGTAATATAACATTAAAATGAAGAATTTTCATATACCTCAAAATGTAAGTTTTTCCCTCAGTAAAAGGGAAGGCAGCTTGTTACATTCCAACTTGAACTATGCTTTATATTATAATGCAGTAAATGAATTCATCTTGCTACCTATCAACTCAAACCCAGTTATAATGGCATTGTTATATATCAGCCTGTTCAGAACCTTATTCGGCTGCAATAATCAGGCCTTCCTCCCTCCTTCCCTCCCTTCCTCCCTTCCTTTTTTTTTTTTTTTTTTTAAAGAAAAACAAACAACCTGGGAAATTGGAGGGGATCCATCCTCCAGGAGCAAGGGGCAAAGGAGGCACCCATTGTGCAGGCTGTCTGAGGGATCATGAGCTCTATTTGTAAAGACCTTTTTTTCCCTGTTGTCTTATTTTAGCTTTTTTTTTTTTTTTTTTTAAAAAAAAAACAACAACAACAAACCAAACCAAAACCAAAAAACAAAACCAATAATAATAAAAGGTATAATACCAGTTATAATACCAGTTGTCACAGCAGTGTTAGAAGTAAGCAAGTACTAAATCTTTCTTCATCTTAGGCCTTGCTTTATATTTTGGTGATGTGAAAAACAGAATGTGAATATAAATGGGCCCATTGCTTCTTTTCTAGTTTTCTCTAATTTTTTTACTTTAAATGTAGCACCAATTGTCTGCTTCTGAGGTCATGATTAATGAGAGCAACCCACATCCTTAGCAAAACCAGGAATGCCTCCTTGATATTTTCCAAGTCTGCACCAGCTACAATATTCCCTGAACTCCAGAGGAGTCATCCAGTTGACCTCAGTGGTTTTGAGCTCAGACCCAAGGTGTGTGGTGGTATGTGCAAAAGAGAGGATCTGGATCAAATTCCCTTTTAGTGTCTGTTTTATAGAGGAAGGAACTGGTTAGTGGGCCTTCCCACCTCAGGTCTCAGTGCTCAATGATTTCATCATCCGAGAAAAGGAGGAGAGTTATGAAGAGTCTCTAACTTTTGTTTTCTAAAAAAATGCCTTTATAATGCCTCTGCATTAGAAGCATCTGTTTTTATTTATGAAGCTTTCCATATACAAGGGGATATCACACATTTTCATTCTGGAGAGCTTATTCTTGATTAAAACAAAACAAAACAAAAACCCATAAAAGGAAATTAAAAAAAAGAAAACAACAAACAAAACAAAACACACACACACAAAAAACCCTCATACCATGGAAGTGTCTCCAAAGCAAGTGAGACCAGGTGCCTGGCTCCTTGATGAGGTAATGTCACCCATGCTGGCCCTGGTTCAGCAAAGCACTCAAGCTCATCCATAAGCCCTGTTCACTCCAGTGGGCCATTAAGCCTGGGCTCACATTGGACTTTCTGTAACAGCTGTCGAACAAACTCATCGTACTGCCTCCCACACAATGATGCAGAGAGAAACCTGATTAAAGATGATGTAAGAGGCTACCAGTGAAAGCCAAGTGCTCTGTGCAACAACAAGTTTTATTGATCTCATAAAACTCAGGAACTCTTCTGTTAGCCAGCCACCTATTTTTGACTGCCATATACAAACAACTAATTTACTATTCACATATATAGAGAAATAGATCGCACTTGCAATAACTCCCAACATTTAAAGTATGCCATAATAGAAACATCAGCACTCTTCCCACTTGTGCAGCTACATAAACCTTGTCTCTCGGTTGGATATATCTAAGGGCATTTAGGCTGCCAAGGGTTGCTCTGGCTGCTGGCTGCTCAGTGCTATTGCAGCAGAGGCAGGGATGTCAGAGGACCTCTGTGAGTGGTTATGGTGCTCAGTGCAATCCCAAATTGCCAGAAGAAACTCTCTTCTCTCCATCATCAGTGACCACTCTTTCATAGCTCCCTAATATTTGAGCAGGGAATGAACCTTTGCAGGTTTTAAAGTTGTGCTGCTTTTAAGACAATATTCAGGAGATGTGAGAGTTCCATGTTGACAGTATGGAGAAAAACAAGGCTGTAGCAGAAAGTGACTTAGAATGGTGGAGAGAAAGAGGATGAAATAGGGAAGTCCCACTCTGATATATCACCCATTTAAGGCATTATTATTACCTGTTTAATTATACTTACTCATTTACAGAATTGCTCTGTTTCATTTACAGTTACTTTGTTTCATTTCTCTTGGCCTGGTTGTGCAGAAGGCTAGCTAGTTCCTTGACAGGTTTCAACTTCAGCTGAAATCAGATACTAGAGGAAATGAATTGGATTTATGCATAGAAGGGTTGGTCAGGCAGGATCTATGTTTATTAAAGCACTGTCTGGCAATTCTCATAGGGTGTCTTTATACCTTGTAAACTTCTAATACAAAAGGACATTCAAAATAAAGTAAAAAAATACAACAGGGTTTACAGGTTCATGCATTTATCCATCTCCAATCCTATAATCCATCCTTCGGTGGTGACTTGCATGATTCTGGCCTGATTCTACAACTCTTTTCATATGGAAATACGTATGCTCATATGAATAACTGTTTAAAATCAGTGCTGGTTTTTATTATATGGTTTATGCATTTCAGAATTGGACCTTCTGAGAAAAAATCTGTATTGTTTGCAGATAAAGTATTCAAGACAGAAAAGGATTACTTACAGACAAATAACCAAATGGGAGACTATATATGAATTTCTTTTATATGAGGAAAACAGTGCAGATATAATATTTCTGGGGTGAAAGGAAAATACTTTTAAAAATATTCACTTGAATTTAAAGCCATAAAAATTAGCCTTTGAGAACCATGAAGTGGTCATCCATTCCACATTTCTGTTGAGGTTATAGATTGTAACGAGAAAGAACGAAAGGGAAACTTTGTCTGGTGTTAATTAAGTTTACTAACATAAAAACACTTTTGTTAGTTGTTGATTAGTTCTTACATTCTTAGAAGAAAAAGAGTCTGTTACTATATGGCCAATAAAGGATACCATCAGCATGTAATTTCTTTAAATATTTGTCTTCTTAATGTATACAATGCTTTTCCATTTCTAATCCAAAGATTATTGTTGAATGGGTATCCCAGTATGGAAAACTTATAGTGAGCAGGCAATTACATTTTTATTTGCTTTTAATTGCTACTACTTATTCTATTCAAAAAGATATTATTTGAACATGTTAGACTCTCCAGCCCAGCAACGTTATCTGTTATTCAGAACAGATAATTTATGAACAAGCACAGATTACATTTCAAGTGAAATAACTACAAATCTGTAGTTTCTAATGACATGGTTTTGTTGAAGAAAAAGTATTTTGGAATTAGTTACCTGAAATGCAAATTTGACTGTGATACCAATAGAACCTTTTCACTAGAAATAATTTATTCTATGACAATCAGATTATCTTCTGAGCCTGAAAAGAAAAACAACTTCTCATTCCCACTAAACTGGACACCAAACACTGAATTTTCACCTTTCTGCTACTTCTGGCCCAGTTTCTGGAATAAATTAAGCCATAGAAGCTTTAAATAGGGAGGGCTCATGGTGTCTGAGCTTGCTTAGTGAATTGCTTGAAACAACAGACTCTTGGCTTCAAAAATTATTTGAGATGCTCTTTCCATTGTAAAAAGGATTAATAATAACAAAATATTGCTATTTAATGTCTCCAGAGTCCTTAAAGCATGGAAACACTGTGTAGATGAGGTAGAACCCTTCACTACTCCCAGCATTCAAAACCCTGCTGGGTACTCATAGTCTTGGAAATGTCTGCTTTTAATTATGCACATTGCTGTTCTGCCAGATAGCAGGTGGAATAGCTTTCAATTCAAGAGGGAGCTAATATAAACTCCTCTCAGCAAATTCTCTTTAAAAGGATTCTCTTTCAAGGCTGCCTGTATGAAGCTGAGATTCTAGATATGCTCACAAGAATATTCTTCTCTCAGCTAATTGCACAAGAAACAAAGTCTTCTCATATGTACTGATAAAATTCAGTAAAACTTGAACTTCCCCTGCTCCTCTGTTATCTGTCTACTAACCAGATACATGTCTGCACTATAGTTTGGTGAAAAAACACTCTCTCTGTATCCGCCTTGGCATAACTAATGCAGACCTGCCATTAGTTTTCATTCATTCTCACCTTCAATTCAATCTGTTAGGGAATTTTTCTTCCTTGTATAGAAATTTTTTTCAGGTTTTCCCCGCATTGTCTATGGACAGAATGAACACAGCTGCATACACGGCATGACTGAAAGCCAGGCATTCAAACTCCCTATTTTGTTACGAGTTTGCATGTGCCAAAGGGCTTTTGTCCACAGGGTACTTGTTGACAGACATAAGGAGGTAGAGGTTTGAAAATTCCTGGAGATATTATTACACTATACCAATAATATCTGTCAGGAATCAGGAGGAATCATACAGAACGAGTGTCTGATCCTCTAGAAGGACTTGAAATACTTTGGCAAAGTTTAGTTAGAGAAGACAGCTAATTATGGACTAAAAGAACATTTGTTTTTAAAGCCCTAAATCAAGAAAAGGCAGGCCCTATTGCTTTGCTGAATAAGTGTCAATTAAATTAAAACTGCAACCAAATGAAAATAACCAAATGTCCCCAACCTCCCATAAGCCTCTTTTCTCCTTGGTTTCATGCCCAACAGGTTTCTCTGGTGTGTATGGGAGAGGGAAGCTTGTAAGAAGACAATATGTGCTGAGCACAGCCACAACTTCTTAAAGTGTTAGTATTTCTCTTGAAAACCAGATGAAAAATGTAGGATACTACCACTCAGTAACTGAATTGTACTATGAGAACTATAATCACCAGTCCAGCTGGCTGCATGTTGACCTCTCAGCACTGAAGTGCAGCACATGAACCTTTCAGTTCAAGGTCTTGCTAGCAAAGTGGTAAAAACTCTCAATGGCATTTCTATAAAAACAGCAGACACTCTACACCACAGACTCATTTTTTATTCAGGAAGAAGCTTTCCCCAGAAAAGATAACTGATTCTTCTGGTACTATGAAGTGGTAGAAGGAGAATCTGGTTAGGAACTTACTACCTCTGTAATGGGTCTGTAATACAAGCAGGTAAATAGCAAATGTAAGAGGGCAGGAGACTACCTGCATTTTGCTCAAGAAGACTGCTTTGAAACAAAACTAAGAAAAACGTTTATTAACTTCAGTCTCATGAAGGTTATTACATTTCATTCCCTAACTCTCAAAACGTGAGTTTCTTATACATATTAT